TATCAAAATTTCAGCTATAATGTCGATTACCGTTTTTCCCCATACAAACCTTTATAAATTCAAACCGTTGTAATACAACGCCACCATATGCTGCAAGGCGAAGGTCACGTTTCGCGTAACCAAACTCGGTGGTTATGTAATAGTAGATGTCGGCGGTAAATATGTCACGTTTCACGCGCTGAACGTTCGCACTCCTCGCATCGTGAGCTTGGGCCGCCTGTGTACTAGGTGAGAAGAAAATTACAGGCTTTCTTTCCAGCACTTAATACTAACACAGGGTTTTTTTAAATTTGTTTCGTACTGTATACTTAAACAAGACAGGCACTTGGAAACGTTAGAAAGTTAGGATCCAGAGAAAATAAACTGGAGTTAAATATAATTCAAAATAACTAGCCTGAACTGCTTTGAACAAAACGATTGACGAAAGATACTTTTGCAGGCACAAATAAAAAAGATGAAATACATAGCTTTTCTCTTTGTGTACTTGGAGAACGAGGGGTTGTTTATTAAGGTTTTTTAATTCGACCATCTGTCATTGAATATCTTTTTTAATCACTAGATTAACCTTGATTATGAACAGTTTCCAAAATGGCAAACAACGCGGTATGCTACAGAGTACCTGCCGTGTATGAATGACAGATAACAAAACGTTCTAACCATACATGGGTATGGTATAACAATATTAAACAGAAAGGTAGTGAATACCATACGTTAAACAGCCAGAAAAAAACACTAGTAGCCAGGAAAACAATATTTTCAAGTGATTTATAACTTAGAAGACAATAAATGATTTCTTTCTTTTTATCTTTATTTTTACTTTCTCAGAGCACCTTTCATTATGACTCGTCGTACTGGAGCGATGAAAATGAATACAACCTCCCTGAGGGGGAGACTGGGTTTAACAAAAAAGAGACCAAGCTACCGACCTACTGGAACATATCCTTCTTCAAGATGTCTTGGTATGAAGATCGGCCAACAGATCAACTTCATTGTCATTAACAAGCATGCCAACTCTCTGTACTCACTGATAGCTGACGGGCAAAACCGCGCCACCTCACTGGGTCGTGACACGTGGAAGACGCTGATTGGTTCAGAGGCCTCATTGCAACACAAATGTAACAAGGAAGGCTTCAACGTTGTGAGTCTTTCAACTTCATTTTCTAAAGCAAGGATTGGTTTCCTCGGAAACGAACAGGATCATTGCGAAACTTGTGATTCCAGAATTAAGTTTGGTACAGGAGGATATTTTGACAACTCCAACACGTGTGGAAACGAGGCTTCATCCAGGTCCGATAATGGAAGCAAACACATCAAAGCCATGGGATATATCTTGGTGCAGTGACAAGTGACAAAGGGTTAATAATCATTAGCTTCATCACCATACTCCTCTTAGTTAGCCAAAAAATCGAAGTCATACAAGAACTGTGTCCTTGCAAATCTTGGTTGTACCAAGTAAGATTTACAAAGGAACGTTACCCGTCCTGTACGTTTAGAGTTAAGCGTGGCTTCACTTTTACGGGAGCCTTATTATTTATCGTTAATACTTGATTTGCACTGGAAATTAACGCGCGCCTGTTCGAAATTTTCTCAGTCATAAACGCTTGTGTAATTTTGAGAGAAATTTCAGAGATCAATCGTAGATATCACCCCGGTATCACCACAGATGAGTTCATCCATTAAAATATTGTAGTAAATATAACACGCACGCAATCAGAGCACATGGACTCATGAATGAACTTGACATTGAAAGCAATCAGGAGACCTTTCTAAGCTTTGCATAACATCTGTAGAAGTCGCCGTTTCCAGTCCGAGTTCAACCATAAAGCTACACTCAGATCTAAATTCTGATAATTTTCAGAGGCCATTTAGCAGCCCTCGGAAGACCTCACATGAATGGCTCGATACCCTTTAAGGGAGCAATAGAACAGACAGCAGAAACAGCGCCCCTAGCGCCAAAACAATAACAGCTGCTAACAAGCAAGACAATTAGAAGCTCACGAGAGGTGCTACACATTTTCAGGGGAAATGGATCAGATTTGTGTTTACACCAGAGCAGCATAGTATCGTGTCCTTCGCATCTTCTTTCAAAGAAGGGACGGTTAAACGTATGATCGCTATTTCCAGTTCTGAATGCATGGTCTTTATAAGGGGCTAAAATACAAAGACGCACTTTTCTGAGTCTGGGATCATTGCAGGATAATGCCCAATACAGAGTCCAAACATGATCCATTATCAAACTTGGACAAAATAACCTTGCACCTCCATGTTGAGCAATACATTTCATCTCTTTATTTACTCGTCATTGTCTCTTTAGTCAAAAAATATATATTTCTTATCTTTGGTTTGGTGCCAGTCAATTACAACAATGTATTCATTAAATCTTCCTCCCCGTACCCTAGTCAAATACTCTGTAATTTGTTAAAACACGAATTGCCCTATTCCTATGAAAAAGTCTAGTCCATGTCCATCAATTAATGTTTAATCCATATTGAAATTAATCCAGGCCATCCCATTCACAATGGAATGATCACGTTTTAATTGTGTTGCGTTACTATTCTACAATATGTACTTACAGCTAAGCCTCTGGCTGTTATAACTAAATATTCTGTTGCGGTTTTGGCTCGGAGATGATTAACCGGCGGAATCAGCCTCAAGGCCGAAAAAAATTAAAATCTGTATTTGACAACCTAGGTTGTGCTGACGGTCATTGAATGATTAACTGTATTCAACAATTTTATTCTGAGCTCGAGATTTCTATCGCGTTACGTTGACAAGGGCGTAGCCCGAGTCAACTATCAAGCGTAGAAATCAAGAGCGGATAATCTAATTGTTTTAGTATAAATCTACTAGTTGTTCAAAACTTTATCCAAAGACATTTCGAAAACGCAAAGAATCGGCTGCCAGTTTGTTAAAAAGCGCACACTGCTGCGTTACTCGCTATCTACAACAGAATAGATAGTGAGTAGCGTAGCCAATCAGAGAACGCCATTCGTGATATATCGCTAGTAGATTTATACTAAAGAACTATATTAACTGGCAATTTTATAACATTTCGTATTTGTGTCTTATGTCTGATGGGTCAAGTGACGTGCGCGCTTGAAAATGTTCATTATTTGTCTGGACCAGCTGTGAGTGACCTAGCCCCTTTAAGAAACGATAAATTTAGCCTGCGAGCGGGCTCTAGTGTTTGGGTGCAGCTATCTGACCTTTCGCTTCGGCGCGCGAGCGAGTTTAAGAACGACGCGTGGGAGGCCTAACTAGACACAGCGCGCCGGCTCGTCTCGCGGTTTCGACTCATGCGTGTGTGTTTCTCGCGGCTTCGCCGCTCGCGTCCCCGCCCTAAACACAACAGCCTGCTTGCAGTCAACGATGTATTACATCCGGCATTCTTAGCAACGTACAAGTTACCTGTATGAAAATCAGAGAAAATTTTAAAATTTAGTTGACTAAGGTAGCAAAACAGCAAGTAATTGGTAAAGCTTAATCAGAGAGAAACAAGAATGGGACAACTGAGATAAATTACGAAATACTATCTTGAAAAATTCACCCTAGATTTTTCCTTGCAACGTCTCGTCATCTCTTGTATTCCGCGCCTTGTTTTCGTTGCGTCGTTCGTCTTTCCAGAGTTTGCCTTCTCTTATCATATTGCGACAGATACTTGGAGCAGATCTCCACCATTTTACTTTGTCCTGTCTTCTCCGCCAGCTCAGCGATTTCCCGAATGGCGTCCACCCGGTCTCCTTTTACAGCGATCAGATAAGCGGATTTTAGTTTACCGCACATTAGGAAAGCGCTTATCTGAAAAAAAAAAAAACATGATCTCACTGCGTAAGAAACACCAAGGTTTTCTATTTGATGCTGCACGTTAAGGAAACTGATATATTCTTATGGTGGGAAGCAGTGCAATTTCTGGGTAGTAAGAATCGACATCTCTTAGATACGCGAGCAAGAAGTTTTCCAAAACGGCGCTGGTTTACCAGGAAAAGAACACAACAGAAGATAATATCAAATACCTTGTTGATGTCATTCTTCAGAAGTTTAATTAGTCCTTCCAAGTACTTCGTCTACATGTTAAGAAATACATATCTCGCAATCAGCTTTGAGTTAGAGGAAAGTCGCATTTAATCAGAAGGGACAAAAACAGCCTTTTCCCTAATATTTGATTCCGACTGTTTTCTTCACTTTGAATAATTTTGCTCTTCTGTTCATATTGCAAGATTTGCTACTGTCTAGTAAGAAATTAAGTATAGGTAAATAAAAAAGTGTAAAAGCACTGAAATAATCAGCTTTTGTAAGAGATGTTGCTACGCGATGTAAGTTTCTAGACTGGTGTAATTAGAGATATAGTTGTAATTCATTAAGTCTTTTAACTTTTTTCCTTTCTTACTTTTAAGTGTTGAGAGAGTGTGACTAAATAGGCAAGTATTAAAAAAAATGTGGAAATCAAAAAAGAATTAAAATGTCACAGAAAAACCGGCCGCACCTGACTCTGGTCAGCGGCCACAATACTGACGCATGCCAGAATGATATCATCATGACATTTGTCTGTTACTTGTCCAGTCTCCCCCGAGCAACGTAGAAGTTCTTCAATGTGTGAGTACTTGTACTGTCGCGCCAGCGAACGGCCAGCGTCCACGTAAACACGTGCAGCAGGCAGATTAAAATCCTGTGTAGAGATAGAGAAGTGAACGTACTGCTAGCGAGGAGCCCTTGAAAGCGAGACTCCCTCGCCAGATGATGGAACGAGTTGAATGAACTGTGACTTTATTGAAACGTCCAAAATAATGATTTTTCCAAATTATTCATTATCCAAATTATTCATAATTGAGCTCTTTGAAAAAGTATTTCAAACTTAAGTGTCTGGGAAAATATTACACTTTTATAATATGGCACTCTTGTCCAAGATGAAAAGGACAATTCTGATTGGTTCACTGAGGGATGGGGAATTTGCAATACGGACCGCTCACGAATGGAACTTTTCAGCGGCTATTTTGAATTCTGTTGTTTCAAATAGCCATTATGGGATGCTCCGGGGGGTAAATTAGTATGTACTTGCCCTCTAAGCATCCCATAACAGCTATTTGAAACAACAGAATTAAAAAATGGCCGCCGTATCGCCGAAAAGATTCATTAGGTTCGGCGAATTGCTTTTTCAAAACATCGCACAAGCTATTACAGCTATTTGTTACGTACAAATGTTATTTCCTTCAAATTTGGCCGACAATTTCAGTTTAACTTTCAAGAAAGCGGCGTGATAAACGTAATATATGCTTACCTTTTGCGCGCGCGAGCAGTATGTCCCTAATACGGAGATCACGCTAGTTCAATAACATTAAAGATTTGTGGCCACACCAGAAATTGTCAGACTCCAGTAATGTTGTAAGCAGAAGCAGAGCACAGAACAAACCTGAATTATTCGGCTGGCCAAGCTGAAACCATCTAGGATTGTTGCTCCAGCAAGAAGGACCTGAACAAAAAACAAAGAAAAAATGTTTCAAAATTATAAAAGGTAGCAAGGTATGATAAACGACTGTTTATGGATACAAAAGGAAAATAATAATAATAATTACCTTAACTAAGTCCCCGCCCATCACAAATCCCTTAGTTACCTGGACAACCACCTCTGCCCTAACATGTCCATTTCCGAAAAGGGTTGGCAGTCGATTTCCTTCAGTCGCTCGTAGTAGACCCAGCCCCCCTCGGTCCACAGCGCACTGATGCATGAAGCTCGTAACCTCCATCTGTAAGTTGATGGTGTTCATATGACTGTTCAACTCGGACAGTGACATGGTTAGGTGAGAGGGTTCTTCGGCAACGCTCTTTACACTGGTAGTGCTACGCTGTCGCAAATACGCAAACACGGTGTTACAAGTTCCCTTGGGGGATTTCTTCTCGGCGATCACAGCTTCAATGTGCTGTTTAGCTTCCTCGAGGTAATGAAGTCGAGAGTAGAGATCTTCGTATGACGTCACGGGTCCACCGGCCGCGCCCTCGTAAAACCGGATACAAGTCTGAGCGGCGCGAAAGAAGTCCTAAGGTTGGAAAAGATGAGAGGAAGTTAAATTCTGATAAAACAAGTTGGCCTAATGGTAAAACATAGATATGCAAATAAACTTTGTTTGAGGAGGGTTACTCTTATCAACCTTGTCACTGACAAACCTGGGATGCTCAATTTTATTCCAGATCCATCTGGAAATTAATAGTGTTAAGTGCGCTGGGTTCCGGACCGAAGGGTCCGAGATCATTGCGATGTTCTTGGGTAGTAACTTCATGCTACAGTACCCGGAGTAAAGCTCCGGTAGCTGTGTGCGAGGTTTGCGAGGCGCAAGCTTACCTCTGTCTCGCCAGTGGCAGATTTTCCTATTACTGCTCTCGTATTACTGATACAACGACAACACTTACCCTCATAAACACCTGTACTTCGTACAGCAGATGATGAAAACTTCGGCGTAGTAAAAATTTACAAGCCGCGGTCAAATAAGGCATCCACGCCTGCAATGTCGGGTCAGCGGTTTCCATCTGCTCTTTCAGCTGCGTAAATTTACCTTTGAGAACAAGGCGCATGAACAAACTTTCGATGAACACTTCCACAGAACATTGCTAAGAAAGGAGGAGAAATAACAGAACAAAGAGGTGCTGAGTGAGGTCGATTGTTGAAAACCAGTCCAGTGTGATAGCAAGCTGACTTTGAACACAGTTTAGGAGAATTTATACCAACCTTTGCTCAATTAGTAGTAATGACTAGCTCGTGCTACATCAATGAACAAAATACTCCCCTTAGCATCCTGATGTAACTGAATTTTGACGCCACTACACTGTCCGACCGAATCCTGTCTAACTTTGAACAACGAAGGATTTTCCCTATCGCTTCAAACTTGTCGTTTAATGTTTTGTTCCCACTGAAACAGCGAACAGTGCGCAGTACACAGGATTTCAAATTTCTGCCTCATGCCGTCGCAACTTACAACAGCGCGGGTGGTAATACGCGCANGGTAGTGAATACCATACGTTAAACAGCCAGAAAAAAACACTAGTAGCCAGGAAAACAATATTTTCAAGTGATTTATAACTTAGAAGACAATAAATGATTTCTTTCTTTTTATCTTTATTTTTACTTTCTCAGAGCACCTTTCATTATGACTCGTCGTACTGGAGCGATGAAAATGAATACAACCTCCCTGAGGGGGAGACTGGGTTTAACAAAAAAGAGACCAAGCTACCGACCTACTGGAACATATCCTTCTTCAAGATGTCTTGGTATGAAGATCGGCCAACAGATCAACTTCATTGTCATTAACAAGCATGCCAACTCTCTGTACTCACTGATAGCTGACGGGCAAAACCGCGCCACCTCACTGGGTCGTGACACGTGGAAGACGCTGATTGGTTCAGAGGCCTCATTGCAACACAAATGTAACAAGGAAGGCTTCAACGTTGTGAGTCTTTCAACTTCATTTTCTAAAGCAAGGATTGGTTTCCTCGGAAACGAACAGGATCATTGCGAAACTTGTGATTCCAGAATTAAGTTTGGTACAGGAGGATATTTTGACAACTCCAACACGTGTGGAAAGGAGGCTTCATCCAGGTCCGATAATGGAAGCAAACACATCAAAGCCATGGGATATATCTTGGTGCAGTGACAAGTGACAAAGGGTTAATAATCATTAGCTTCATCACCATACTCCTCTTAGTTAGCCAAAAAATCGAAGTCATACAAGAACTGTGTCCTTGCAAATCTTGGTTGTACCAAGTAAGATTTACAAAGGAACGTTACCCGTCCTGTACGTTTAGAGTTAAGCGTGGCTTCACTTTTACGGGAGCCTTATTATTTATCGTTAATACTTGATTTGCACTGGAAATTAACGCGCGCCTGTTCGAAATTTTCTCAGTCATAAACGCTTGTGTAATTTTGAGAGAAATTTCAGAGATCAATCGTAGATATCACCCCGGTATCACCACAGATGAGTTCATCCATTAAAATATTGTAGTAAATATAACACGCACGCAATCAGAGCACATGGACTCATGAATGAACTTGACATTGAAAGCAATCAGGAGACCTTTCTAAGCTTTGCATAACATCTGTAGAAGTCGCCGTTTCCAGTCCGAGTTCAACCATAAAGCTACACTCAGATCTAAATTCTGATAATTTTCAGAGGCCATTTAGCAGCCCTCGGAAGACCTCACATGAATGGCTCGATACCCTTTAAGGGAGCAATAGAACAGACAGCAGAAACAGCGCCCCTAGCGCCAAAACAATAACAGCTGCTAACAAGCAAGACAATTAGAAGCTCACGAGAGGTGCTACACATTTTCAGGGGAAATGGATCAGATTTGTGTTTACACCAGAGCAGCATAGTATCGTGTCCTTCGCATCTTCTTTCAAAGAAGGGACGGTTAAACGTATGATCGCTATTTCCAGTTCTGAATGCATGGTCTTTATAAGGGGCTAAAATACAAAGACGCACTTTTCTGAGTCTGGGATCATTGCAGGATAATGCCCAATACAGAGTCCAAACATGATCCATTATCAAACTTGGACAAAATAACCTTGCACCTCCATGTTGAGCAATACATTTCATCTCTTTATTTACTCGTCATTGTCTCTTTAGTCAAAAAATATATATTTCTTATCTTTGGTTTGGTGCCAGTCAATTACAACAATGTATTCATTAAATCTTCCTCCCCGTACCCTAGTCAAATACTCTGTAATTTGTTAAAACACGAATTGCCCTATTCCTATGAAAAAGTCTAGTCCATGTCCATCAATTAATGTTTAATCCATATTGAAATTAATCCAGGCCATCCCATTCACAATGGAATGATCACGTTTTAATTGTGTTGCGTTACTATTCTACAATATGTACTTACAGCTAAGCCTCTGGCTGTTATAACTAAATATTCTGTTGCGGTTTTGGCTCGGAGATGATTAACCGGCGGAATCAGCCTCAAGGCCGAAAAAAATTAAAATCTGTATTTGACAACCTAGGTTGTGCTGACGGTCATTGAATGATTAACTGTATTCAACAATTTTATTCTGAGCTCGAGATTTCTATCGCGTTACGTTGACAAGGGCGTAGCCCGAGTCAACTATCAAGCGTAGAAATCAAGAGCGGATAATCTAATTGTTTTAGTATAAATCTACTAGTTGTTCAAAACTTTATCCAAAGACATTTCGAAAACGCAAAGAATCGGCTGCCAGTTTGTTAAAAAGCGCACACTGCTGCGTTACTCGCTATCTACAACAGAATAGATAGTGAGTAGCGTAGCCAATCAGAGAACGCCATTCGTGATATATCGCTAGTAGATTTATACTAAAGAACTATATTAACTGGCAATTTTATAACATTTCGTATTTGTGTCTTATGTCTGATGGGTCAAGTGACGTGCGCGCTTGAAAATGTTCATTATTTGTCTGGACCAGCTGTGAGTGACCTAGCCCCTTTAAGAAACGATAAATTTAGCCTGCGAGCGGGCTCTAGTGTTTGGGTGCAGCTATCTGACCTTTCGCTTCGGCGCGCGAGCGAGTTTAAGAACGACGCGTGGGAGGCCTAACTAGACACAGCGCGCCGGCTCGTCTCGCGGTTTCGACTCATGCGTGTGTGTTTCTCGCGGCTTCGCCGCTCGCGTCCCCGCCCTAAACACAACAGCCTGCTTGCAGTCAACGATGTATTACATCCGGCATTCTTAGCAACGTACAAGTTACCTGTATGAAAATCAGAGAAAATTTTAAAATTTAGTTGACTAAGGTAGCAAAACAGCAAGTAATTGGTAAAGCTTAATCAGAGAGAAACAAGAATGGGACAACTGAGATAAATTACGAAATACTATCTTGAAAAATTCACCCTAGATTTTTCCTTGCAACGTCTCGTCATCTCTTGTATTCCGCGCCTTGTTTTCGTTGCGTCGTTCGTCTTTCCAGAGTTTGCCTTCTCTTATCATATTGCGACAGATACTTGGAGCAGATCTCCACCATTTTACTTTGTCCTGTCTTCTCCGCCAGCTCAGCGATTTCCCGAATGGCGTCCACCCGGTCTCCTTTTACAGCGATCAGATAAGCGGATTTTAGTTTACCGCACATTAGGAAAGCGCTTATCTGAAAAAAAAAAAAAAATACAATTATAACCAAATCTTAACGAAACGCAGGTTTACTGTGATGTGTTTGGAAGCACAGGACCTTTGCTGGGAATATCCCAACTCTTCTAAAACGGTGAAGAATGTTGCAAACATTGTCAGTAGGTGATATCCATACTGAACTCACGTTCGAAACAAACAGAATGAACTTAAGTGAGCTGATTTTCAGCCACTTGATTAGACAGCCAAACATGATCTCACTGCGCAAGAAACACCAAGGTTGTCTATTTGATGCTGCACGTTAAGGAAACTGATATATTCTCATGGTGGGAAGCAGTGCAATTTCTGGATAGTAAAAATCGACAACTCTTCGATACGCGAGCAAGAAGTTTTCCAAAACGGCGCTGGTCTACCAGGAAAAGAACACAAGAGAAGATAATATCAAATACCTTGTTGATGTCATTCTTCAGAAGTTTAATTAGTCCTTCCAGGTACTTCGTCTACATATAACGAAATACATATCTCGCAATCAGCTTTGAGTTAAAGGAAAATCGCATTTAATCAGAAGGGACAAAAACAGCCTTTTCCCTAATATTTGATTCCGACTGTTTTCTTCACTTTGAATAATTTTGCTCTTCTGTTCATATTGCAAGATTTGCTACTGTCTAGTAAGAAATTAAGTATAGGTAAATAAAAAAGTGTAAAAGCACTGAAATAATCAGCTTTTGTAAGAGATGTTGCTACGCGATGTAAGTTTCTAGACTGGTGTAATTAGAGATATAGTTGTAATTCATTAAGTCTTTTAACTTTTTTCCTTTCTTACTTTTAAGTGTTGAGAGAGTGTGACTAAATAGGCAAGTATTAAAAAAAATGTGGAAATCAAAAAAGAATTAAAATGTCACAGAAAAACCGGCCGCACCTGACTCTGGTCAGCGGCCACAATACTGACGCATGCCAGAATGATATCATCATGACATTTGTCTGTTACTTGTCCAGTCTCCCCCGAGCAACGTAGAAGTTCTTCAATGTGTGAGTACTTGTACTGTCGCGCCAGCGAACGGCCAGCGTCCACGTAAACACGTGCAGCAGGCAGATTAAAATCCTGTGTAGAGATAGAGAAGTGAACGTACTGCTAGCGAGGAGCCCTTGAAAGCGAGACTCCCTCGCCAGATGATGGAACGAGTTGAATGAACTGTGACTTTATTGAAACGTCCAAAATAATGATTTTTCCAAATTATTCATTATCCAAATTATTCATAATTGAGCTCTTTGAAAAAGTATTTCAAACTTAAGTGTCTGGGAAAATATTACACTTTTATAATATGGCACTCTTGTCCAAGATGAAAAGGACAATTCTGATTGGTTCACTGAGGGATGGGGAATTTGCAATACGGACCGCTCACGAATGGAACTTTTCAGCGGCTATTTTGAATTCTGTTGTTTCAAATAGCCATTATGGGATGCTCCGGGGGGTAAATTAGTATGTACTTGCCCTCTAAGCATCCCATAACAGCTATTTGAAACAACAGAATTAAAAAATGGCCGCCGTATCGCCGAAAAGATTCATTAGGTTCGGCGAATTGCTTTTTCAAAACATCGCACAAGCTATTACAGCTATTTGTTACGTACAAATGTTATTTCCTTCAAATTTGGCCGACAATTTCAGTTTAACTTTCAAGAAAGCGGCGTGATAAACGTAATATATGCTTACCTTTTGCGCGCGCGAGCAGTATGTCCCTAATACGGAGATCACGCTAGTTCAATAACATTAAAGATTTGTGGCCACACCAGAAATTGTCAGACTCCAGTAATGTTGTAAGCAGAAGCAGAGCACAGAACAAACCTGAATTATTCGGCTGGCCAAGCTGAAACCATCTAGGATTGTTGCTCCAGCAAGAAGGACCTGAACAAAAAACAAAGAAAAAATGTTTCAAAATTATAAAAGGTAGCAAGGTATGATAAACGACTGTTTATGGATACAAAAGGAAAATAATAATAATAATTACCTTAACTAAGTCCCCGCCCATCACAAATCCCTTAGTTACCTGGACAACCACCTCTGCCCTAACATGTCCATTTCCGAAAAGGGTTGGCAGTCGATTTCCTTCAGTCGCTCGTAGTAGACCCAGCCCCCCTCGGTCCACAGCGCACTGATGCATGAAGCTCGTAACCTCCATCTGTAAGTTGATGGTGTTCATATGACTGTTCAACTCGGACAGTGACATGGTTAGGTGAGAGGGTTCTTCGGCAACGCTCTTTACACTGGTAGTGCTACGCTGTCGCAAATACGCAAACACGGTGTTACAAGTTCCCTTGGGGGATTTCTTCTCGGCGATCACAGCTTCAATGTGCTGTTTAGCTTCCTCGAGGTAATGAAGTCGAGAGTAGAGATCTTCGTATGACGTCACGGGTCCACCGGCCGCGCCCTCGTAAAACCGGATACAAGTCTGAGCGGCGCGAAAGAAGTCCTAAGGTTGGAAAAGATGAGAGGAAGTTAAATTCTGATAAAACAAGTTGGCCTAATGGTAAAACATAGATATGCAAATAAACTTTGTTTGAGGAGGGTTACTCTTATCAACCTTGTCACTGACAAACCTGGGATGCTCAATTTTATTCCAGATCCATCTGGAAATTAATAGTGTTAAGTGCGCTGGGTTCCGGACCGAAGGGTCCGAGATCATTGCGATGTTCTTGGGTAGTAACTTCATGCTACAGTACCCGGAGTAAAGCTCCGGTAGCTGTGTGCGAGGTTTGCGAGGCGCAAGCTTACCTCTGTCTCGCCAGTGGCAGATTTTCCTATTACTGCTCTCGTATTACTGATACAACGACAACACTTACCCTCATAAACACCTGTACTTCGTACAGCAGATGATGAAAACTTCGGCGTAGTAAAAATTTACAAGCCGCGGTCAAATAAGGCATCCACGCCTGCAATGTCGGGTCAGCGGTTTCCATCTGCTCTTTCAGCTGCGTAAATTTACCTTTGAGAACAAGGCGCATGAACAAACTTTCGATGAACACTTCCACAGAACATTGCTAAGAAAGGAGGAGAAATAACAGAACAAAGAGGTGCTGAGTGAGGTCGATTGTTGAAAACCAGTCCAGTGTGATAGCAAGCTGACTTTGAACACAGTTTAGGAGAATTTATACCAACCTTTGCTCAATTAGTAGTAATGACTAGCTCGTGCTACATCAATGAACAAAATACTCCCCTTAGCATCCTGATGTAACTGAATTTTGACGCCACTACACTGTCCGACCGAATCCTGTCTAACTTTGAACAACGAAGGATTTTCCCTATCGCTTCAAACTTGTCGTTTAATGTTTTGTTCCCACTGAAACAGCGAACAGTGCGCAGTACACAGGATTTCAAATTTCTGCCTCATGCCGTCGCAACTTACAACAGCGCGGGTGGTAATACGCGCAACAACGCTTTTCAGCTTGCTATGCAACAATGTTGCAATGTTGAAAGTTGCTGCAAGTTGCAATGTAGTAAGCGCTGAAAGTTGTCCTTCCTTAGCATATCAGACGAGGCCTTAAACTACTGTATATAGTTAAGTCGATGTTCCAAGCTTTCGCCGATNAAAAAAGAATTAAAATGTCACAGAAAAACCGGCCGCACCTGACTCTGGTCAGCGGCCACAATACTGACGCATGCCAGAATGATATCATCATGACATTTGTCTGTTACTTGTCCAGTCTCCCCCGAGCAACGTAGAAGTTCTTCAATGTGTGAGTACTTGTACTGTCGCGCCAGCGAACGGCCAGCGTCCACGTAAACACGTGCAGCAGGCAGATTAAAATCCTGTGTAGAGATAGAGAAGTGAACGTACTGCTAGCGAGGAGCCCTTGAAAGCGAGACTCCCTCGCCAGATGATGGAACGAGTTGAATGAACTGTGACTTTATTGAAACGTCCAAAATAATGATTTTTCCAAATTATTCATTATCCAAATTATTCATAATTGAGCTCTTTGAAAAAGTATTTCAAACTTAAGTGTCTGGGAAAATATTACACTTTTATAATATGGCACTCTTGTCCAAGATGAAAAGGACAATTCTGATTGGTTCACTGAGGGATGGGGAATTTGCAATACGGACCGCTCACGAATGGAACTTTTCAGCGGCTATTTTGAATTCTGTTGTTTCAAATAGCCATTATGGGATGCTCCGGGGGGTAAATTAGTATGTACTTGCCCTCTAAGCATCCCATAACAGCTATTTGAAACAACAGAATTAAAAAATGGCCGCCGTATCGCCGAAAAGATTCATTAGGTTCGGCGAATTGCTTTTTCAAAACATCGCACAAGCTATTACAGCTATTTGTTACGTACAAATGTTATTTCCTTCAAATTTGGCCGACAATTTCAGTTTAACTTTCAAGAAAGCGGCGTGATAAACGTAATATATGCTTACCTTTTGCGCGCGCGAGCAGTATGTCCCTAATACGGAGATCACGCTAGTTCAATAACATTAAAGATTTGTGGCCACACCAGAAATTGTCAGACTCCAGTAATGTTGTAAGCAGAAGCAGAGCACAGAACAAACCTGAATTATTCGGCTGGCCAAGCTGAAACCATCTAGGATTGTTGCTCCAGCAAGAAGGACCTGAACAAAAAACAAAGAAAAAATGTTTCAAAATTATAAAAGGTAGCAAGGTATGATAAACGACTGTTTATGGATACAAAAGGAAAATAATAATAATAATTACCTTAACTAAGTCCCCGCCCATCACAAATCCCTTAGTTACCTGGACAACCACCTCTGCCCTAACATGTCCATTTCCGAAAAGGGTTGGCAGTCGATTTCCTTCAGTCGCTCGTAGTAGACCCAGCCCCCCTCGGTCCACAGCGCACTGATGCATGAAGCTCGTAACCTCCATCTGTAAGTTGATGGTGTTCATATGACTGTTCAACTCGGACAGTGACATGGTTAGGTGAGAGGGTTCTTCGGCAACGCTCTTTACACTGGTAGTGCTACGCTGTCGCAAATACGCAAACACGGTGTTACAAGTTCCCTTGGGGGATTTCTTCTCGGCGATCACAGCTTCAATGTGCTGTTTAGCTTCCTCGAGGTAATGAAGTCGAGAGTAGAGATCTTCGTATGACGTCACGGGTCCACCGGCCGCGCCCTCGTAAAACCGGATACAAGTCTGAGCGGCGCGAAAGAAGTCCTAAGGTTGGAAAAGATGAGAGGAAGTTAAATTCTGATAAAACAAGTTGGCCTAATGGTAAAACATAGATATGCAAATAAACTTTGTTTGAGGAGGGTTACTCTTATCAACCTTGTCACTGACAAACCTGGGATGCTCAATTTTATTCCAGATCCATCTGGAAATTAATAGTGTTAAGTGCGCTGGGTTCCGGACCGAAGGGTCCGAGATCATTGCGATGTTCTTGGGTAGTAACTTCATGCTACAGTACCCGGAGTAAAGCTCCGGTAGCTGTGTGCGAGGTTTGCGAGGCGCAAGCTTACCTCTGTCTCGCCAGTGGCAGATTTTCCTATTACTGCTCTCGTATTACTGATACAACGACAACACTTACCCTCATAAACACCTGTACTTCGTACAGCAGATGATGAAAACTTCGGCGTAGTAAAAATTTACAAGCCGCGGTCAAATAAGGCATCCACGCCTGCAATGTCGGGTCAGCGGTTTCCATCTGCTCTTTCAGCTGCGTAAATCTACCTTTGAGAACAAGGCGCATGAACAAACTTTCGATGAACACTTCCACAGAACATTGCTAAGAAAGGAGGAGAAATAACAGAACAAAGAGGTGCTGAGTGAGGTCGATTGTTGAAAACCAGTCCAGTGTGATAGCAAGCTGACTTTGAACACAGTTTAGGAGAATTTATACCAACCTTTGCTCAATTAGTAGTAATGACTAGCTCGTGCTACATCAATGAACAAAATACTCCCCTTAGCATCCTGATGTAACTGAATTTTGACGCCACTACACTGTCCGACCGAATCCTGTCTAACTTTGAACAACGAAGGATTTTCCCTATCGCTTCAAACTTGTCGTTTAATGTTTTGTTCCCACTGAAACAGCGAACAGTGCGCAGTACACAGGATTTCAAATTTCTGCCTCATGCCGTCGCAACTTACAACAGCGCGGGTGGTAATACGCGCAACAACGCTTTTCAGCTTGCTATGCAACAATGTTGCAATGTTGAAAGTTGCTGCAAGTTGCAATGTAGTAAGCGCTGAAAGTTGTCCTTCCTTAGCATATCAGACGAGGCCTTAAACTACTGTATATAGTTAAGTCGATGTTCCAAGCTTTCGCCGATCCACGGCATCATCAGGGATAGAAAATATCCCGCTATACAACTTTCCCGTGATACTAGGCCTTCGCTAGAAGAAACAATCACGATTGCCCGAACAGAGAATAAAGGACAAATTCTTACCTTGTCTATGATGTACCTGCAAGCGAGCTTTAGATGACCGTGCCTGACGTAAAATGCCACAAGAGATGACGGGCTACCGTACTTATGAAGATAGTAAAGGCATTCGTCAAACCGTTTGGGATCTAAGTACGAATTACCACTCTGGAAATTCTGCCAAGATAAAGAAATTAGATGAAGAGATTGAACAAGATAACAACAGAAAGAAATAATAAGATGACAATCACAACTGTCCAATTACAGCAATGCAACATAATGAACCAATCAAATTTTTTCGACTTGCACTCGCCTGAAGGCTCGTCTAATTTTGAGAGAACTTTCAAATACCACGAGTAGTGCAAATAATTGCACTTGCATTCATACAAATACCCATATTAACAGAACAAAAATTTGAAATTGTATAGAATCAAGACTGACTTACTCGGCCGTTTTCCAAGAGGCCACGCAACGGTGACATCAGGTCATCTGTAGACTGTAAACAAATAATTACAAATTTGAAGGCAGGAAAATAAAGCACCAGGAATCGCGATTTTTTTCGAACCTCCAAGGGAAACGAAAATTAGTTTGAGAAATCGGGGATAAAATTAGTGTTCGACTAAGCAGTGGGAAACGAGTTTTAGTTCGAGTTATCGGGAGGTTCGAAAACTCGAGGGTTCGAGAATCCGGAATTCCACTGTACTTCGAAATCAATAGCGTTCAAAAAACAAAAAAAAGAAACAGCAACAACAACAACAACAATTGAACACATTTAAGACACAGTTTACAGATCTTTTTGCCAGTGTGAACGAGATTAAATTGGAGGAAACATTGGCTAGCCAAGGAGATTTACGTGATAAAACAACAACAAACAATAAAAACAATGAATAAGTTAATAAAGATGGTGAATTTTAAGCTNATTATTCATTGTTTGAAGGTGAATTAATCAACATGACACGAACGTGGAACAAAGAAAAATTCTGAGTCCCCTCATGCACCCCGAATCGAACCCATGACCTCCCGAACACCGCCCGGTGTTCGGGAGGTCATGGGTTCGATTCGGGGTGCATGAGGGGACTCAGAATTTTTCTTTGTTCCACGTTCGTGTCATGTTGATTAATTCACCTTCAAACAATGAATAATTAACGCAAACTTCGTAGAATTTGTAATCCAAGATGTGATTTACATTCCTGTTCTGTAAGGCCCCGTTCACACTACGCTGGAGCAATTTGAAAACGCAGCAGTTTATTCCTACGGCTAGTCCTACCGTCCACAATAACCCGTCATGAAAACGGAGCTTTTCGAAAATGCTCTTCAAACCGGAGGAATTTATAAACGTCGGATTTTCGTTTTAGTGTGGCCGGAAAACATTTTGAAGACGGAGCCTATTAAAAACGATGTAGTCAGGTTAATTATGTGATTTTCTTGTCCGAGTTTTATCCACAAATGACCGCTGATTGTTACGTTTTCAAATTTCTCCGACGCAGAGTGAACGGAAAACATTTCATGCGTTTCCGGAGTGTACCCTCCGTTTTTAAATTTCTCCGGCGTAGTGTAGATGGGGCCTTAGGTAACACCGTTCTCTCTACCATAGCTCTCTCACCAAAGCGCACGCTCTTTGCCACGTCACGCGTTCAAAAAATTGCGTGACGACCCAGGAGCTGCGCACAAAGGTGAACCTTACCTGTCTGTAGGCCAGAAGTGGAGACGACTGAAGAATGTCGATGATCTTTTCCAGGTACTGTGAGTTATTATGCTGTTGCTGTTTTCCTGCTTCTTCAGCCTGCAAGACAACGAGTAAGTTTGTCGTCAGGCGCGACGGATGTTTGGTGACCAGGCTTTAATGTTCATCTTTTGTTGTTGTCACGGGCAACTGGCTCCGTTTTCAGTGGTAACTTGTCGGCCTTTGACGACATAGCAACAAAGCGCGCGAAATTAAATTGTAGGCGACGATATTGTCACCACTGGAAACGAGGAAAGTTGCCCGTGGTAACATCGTAATCTTAAAGCCGAAACTTCATCACCAAAGCTCCGTCGCGCCTTACTCAACTTATAATTGTATTAAAGATCTACGTCAATGTTTGCGCATCTTGAAAAGTTTAGCCTAAATTCTTCAAGTTCGTCATTTGAAATCCATGTTAATCTTCTCCATTCTTGTTTCTTTATGGTTTATTATTATCTCTTTGGTGTTCTTCTATTTTAGCAATTACTATTTTCGGGTTTCCTTCAATTTAGAGGTAATTTTGTACGCGGCCAGAATACCACAAAATACCGTGACTGAGTTCCTGTGGCCAGCAGCTGTAACAGCGCTTGATCTAATTACAGCTAAGAAACACAAGGGCCAGTTGATCTTGGCATTCTCGCTTTTTACCATTTACACAAGGAGAAACTGATTGGTTATCTTTTGTTTTAATGGATGTTATCTCCCCCCCCCCCCC